TATCTATCTCTATCTAGTTTTAATTTGTTATCATATTTGATGCTAGTGGTACAAAATGCCCAATGTAGTTAAGAGATGGGAGAGGGTGGAATAAATATGATCTTATTACTCTGTAGTAGAGCTTCCTGTTGTACAAGATACTATTTGAGGGGACAATGATTGGACATTGTAATTAATTAATTATATTAGTCAGTGGCAATTAATGTTATTTAAAAAGTTAACCCTTGAGCCCTTGGCTTCGCCAGTCCTCAGTGGTCAACCATTCCTGTTTGTAATAACTTTTTGGTTACTCACAAGAGTGTCATACAAACAGTATTTTCGGTTTTGACTACTTCCAAGAGTGTCATATAAATAGTGCTTTTTTATGTCATGGTGTAAGAAAAGGTAGAAGTACTTATTTATACTAAAGTTAAAGAGACCATAAAAGTATACTTTAAGTTAATTTTATTTTGTAAATGAAAATTAGACCTTAATTTTATTTTGTAAATGAAAACTAGACCAAAGCTTGGCTTTAATTTTAGGATTATAATAAAGAGTCAGAAATCCATTTTATGTGATGGCTTCTATAAATGTTTCATCTAATAAAAGCTGTAGGCTTAGTTTTATTGATTCAAAGTAATGGTGAGCTGACTGGGTCCTGTCAGAAAGTAAAATGATGATTAAAAGCAGAGGAAAATGGAGCAATACTTGAAGAATACTTTTGATGATAAAAGGTTAAGTGTGTGTTGTATGTAAAGCAGTGCGTGATATGAGCTTCGTAAGAGGAGTAGAGTACTCTTATCCCTCCCTCTTTTCTGGAATAGTAGGTCGGTGCAGGACATTTCATGGGACTACCCTAGTAAGCAGAGAGCTGCACTACAGTCCAAAAGGCACTCGGTTCTAGGTCACCAGCTGATCCACAGGAGAGGGATAGGCAGTCTCTTCTTGTGCGATTAATTGCCTCTAAAAATCCACTGGTTGGTTCCGACTCCATGGTACACCACCACCACCACCACCACCACCACCACCATCACCATCACCATCACCACCATCATCATAGTAAGCAGAGCTAAAATGCCAAGGGAATTGCAAGAATGAGGTTATTTCTAATTGGGAGACCTGGAAGATTTCATGGTGGATTTATTTATGTTCCTTTGGTTGAGCCCATATCTTTATTTAAACAAAATGTTCACTTTAAGTTTTAAGGATGCTGCTGTTCTTCTCTTCCCTCAAATTGACTACTACTTAACAACTCTGAACAGTAGAGCAAAACCTTGTCCTCTTGCAACATCAACACAATCTCTATGTGTTCCAGTCCATTGTTAAATTCACTATGTGAATCCATCCTTTCTTTCTCTCTCATCCTTTCCCATTATAACATCTTTTTTCCACATCATCATAAATGGAAATGACATTTATGGCACCACCTGACAACATGCTTGAAGTTTAACTCTCTTTGCTTCTTCAGGAGCAGCATGGTTTCACTAACATGTAAACATGTATGCTCTTTGCCAGTCCATGGGATATTCAGTACTGTTTGCTAACACTACAGTTCAGATGCATTGATGATTCTTCTATCATCCATTTTCATTATCCATCATTAAGAAATAATTGAAAAACACATGGCTTGGTTCAGGCTCACCTTAGTCTGTAAATTGACTTCCTTGCTTTTTAGTACTTTGGAGATGTCCTTGACAGCAGATATTCTTAATGTATCATGTCTTGATTTTTTGACTAATGTTTGATTACTGGACTAGGAATGCCGATTGTAGTTCTAAGTAAAAGGAAATCCATGACAACTTCAGTCTTTATTCATCTGTCACGGTTGGCTATTGGTCTAATGGTAAAATTTTTTGTTTTCTTTATGTTGAGATGTAACCTATGTTGAAGTCTTTGATTTTCTGTAGTAAATGCTTCAAGTCCTCACTGAGCAAGCAAGGTTGTATCATCTGCATAATTCAGGTTGTTGATGACTTGTCCTCTAATCCTGATGCCACATTCTTCTTTATGTAGTCCAGCTTCTCAAGTTATTTGGCCAGTATACAATCCTGACACACACCTTTCCTGATTTCAAATCTTGCAGTATTCTCTTGTTCTGTTTGGACAACTGTTTCTGAAACTATTTATAGGTTTCACTTGAGCACAATTAAGGTTCTGGTATTCCAGTTCTTCTCAACATTAGCCATAATTTGTTATTTCACACAAAGTCCAAAAACCCACAAGGAAACATCTTTATGGTATTCTCTACTTTCAGCCAAAATACATCCGACATTAGCAGTGATAATACCTTGCACCATGGCCTTTTCTGAATCCAGCTTGAATTTCTGGCAGTTCCCTGTCATTGTACTGTTCCAGCTATTTTTTAATAATCTTCACGTTTTTACTTGCATGTGATATTAATGATATTGTCCAATACTTTTACTTGAAATCTTCTATTCAGCTTCCAGAATGTGACAGACTAAGGAGCAGGACTGGCTATCCATTTCTGAAAAGCTTTTGAAAATCCAGTGAATAATAGGAGAGCATTGTTAGATACAGTGCCAGAAGATGAGCCCCTCAGGCCGGACAGTCCTTAAAAAATAACAAGAAACAGCTTCACATATTCAATAATGATTTGATATGATATTAATGATATTGATTGATTTGGGATGTATGATATTGGCATTGTTGAACGGGGATGTATGAGATATTTTGGAAAGTTGGAAGGTGTAAGAAAGATGGAATGCATAAAGATTGATATCTAGCATTAGTGAGCTGAAATGGACTGGTATTGGCCATTTTGAATCAGTCTTATGATTTATTATACAGGAAATGACAAAGAGGAATGGAGTTTCATTCATTGTCAATAAGAACATTTCAAAAATCTGTCCTGAACTATAGTACTGGAGGTGGTAAAATACTATTCATACACATACGCCAAGAAGACCTAATAATACAAATATTCAATATATACACCAAACACTAATGCCAAAAATGAGAAACTGAGAATTTTTAGTATCTTTTGCAGTCTGAAATGAATCAAATATGCAACCATAATAATAATTGGTGACAGAACTACAAAAGTTGGAAATGAAAGAGAACTGGTAGCTGGGAAGTAATGGCCTTAATGACTGCATTGAGGGTGAAGATGAAATGATAGAATTTTGTACAAGCAATGGTTTATTGCAAATATATTGTTTAAAAAACCTGAACAATGACTATACTTGTGGACCACACCTGGTGGATTACACAGAAATCAGATCGACCAAGTCTGTGGAAAGAGTCCA